TTTTTTTTCTAAAACAATTGTTCTTTCTTCTTGGCTGCTTAGTTATAAATATCTTCACTTTTTGAGTTTACTTGGATGAGTTCAACCTCATATACGTTTCTTATCTGCATAAGGATTTTACATTAATTTTCCTTTAGGTTTGCTGCGGCCTTTAGAGATTTAAAAGTGTGGGTTATGAATGTGGTTCCAATAGACTCTGCTGATACGCTTCCAATAATCTATGAACGGGGCTTGTTCGGGATATATCATGACTGGTGTGAATCATTCAGTACATACCCCAGATCTTATGATCTTCTCCATGCCGACCATCTATTCTCTAGCATCAAAAAGAGGTTTATTTCCTAGCCCTATCACTCTCAACCAAGGTTATCTCAGTAATATATAGCTCTGATTTGGGTTCATAATTTCTGGCCGCAGGTGCAATTTAGTTACATTATTTGCAGAAGGTGATAGAATTCTCAGGCCAGAGGGAAAGTTGATTGTACGGAACAACGCTGAAACCATAAAGGAGGTGGAGGGAATGGCTAAATCTCTAAAGTGGGAGGTCCGGACAACATATTTAGAAGACAATGAAGGATTCATTTGCTTTCACAAGACATATTGGCGTCCAAATGCGACTGAAACAATAAAAGCAGCCATTGTTTGAATCAGAATAGCAGTACTAGAAGAAGTTCTAGCCGTATTGGTGACAAAAACTTGATAGGTATTCTTTTATATCTCAGGCATTAAAATTTTTAGATTAGTTTTAAAGTGTAACATTTTATTGGTTGATTATTATTTGGATCCCCATTACAAAGATTATTATCTTTGTATACTTTGATTGTAAAATCAAATTATCATTATGGAATGAAAATTGAAGGCATTCTTGAAGTTTGGTCATTAACAATTTCACTATTTTTTTCCAAAAAGAAAAACTTTCCTCACTCCGTCCATCTTTTTCTCCTCGCTCTCTTCATTCAACCACCGTCATCCCAACTCTCTCCTCCGTGGTTTGGCAGGTAAGACTGCACATGCCATTGATTCTATGATTATAGCTGGAAACCATATTGCTTTGCATTGTTGCTCTCCCCATTTTCAAAAATCTATGACATCAATTTTGGATTTCTTTCTGTTCTGTGGACTTTTGGGTTTCTTAATCCATGCTTTTCATTGATTTCTTTTTGGGTTTCTTGAACCATGCTTTCCGTTATTTTGATAGTGGAGTGCTAGCTGCACTTGGCGGACTACTCTTTAATAGTGAATTAACACTAGGACCTTATGTTGATTGATTGATATACACGGAATGAAATTACTTGCAGGCATAACTAAACGTAGCATTTACTGATATTTTTTCAAAGCATTATAGAAAAATTAGTTTATCCTGAATTAGTATATGTTGAAAAGAAAACTGACCCCACCACACTTTGTGGGATGAGTGTTG